GAACCTGTATAAAGATTTCTTGTAGTGTACCTAGATCTCGCATATACCCTAGTACCAACGATCCCCATACCATCCAAATACCGTAGTCGCGATATCAAACGTCGACAGTGGCACGCTAGGTAGGGGGATTTTGGTGCTTCAAGGTTTCGGTGAGATTGAGGTAAAAGAGATAGAGACATGGATTTTTATACAGATTCGGGCCCCTTATCTGACAGGTAATAGCCCCACCTAAGTTTACGAAGCCGGAGTACGTGGAGCCAACTCGCCGGGAGATCTCGTCGAATCCCTCGAATACGATCTCGTCGGTACCCTCTGTTTCGACTACTCTCTTTGTAATTATTCTCGTCATCATCAATCTCATATAAACTGGACTAAGGCTATTACCTGATAAGGGGCCTGAACCAGTATAATCCTTGTCTTTTGTCTGCTTGATGTCATACTACGTAGACCCTCGTTCCAACGTACCCCAATACTCAACTCATCCGGTCTGCGAGTATCACTCGTCGACTCTAACAAATCCAACATCCACGCTTTCCCGTATCTGTAGGCTGTATCCATAATATTTTGAGAAAATTCATTGTTGCCTTGAATCATTTGAAGAAATTACCACCATAGTCAAACTCCATATATATCAACTCCTCACCGAGTCCCATATATATCATGTTTATACCAGATAATTCCATATGCGACCTGATAAGCCAATCGCCGCTAGTCTACTCGCCATTTCTCTCAATCCGACCGACTTTGCCCATCAGCCTAACCAGCCAAACCCGGTCTGACCGTTCGGCCCATCCTCGTCTGATAGAGAACCACACACTCCTCATGCATAACTCCTACCACTGAAATGCCCGTCGACATACGAGACTGCTTGCTGCCTCCGTGCACCCTCTTTCACGTGTCTTCTTGATCAAATGCTAAAATCTTCTGCTCTGATACCACTTATTATAAAAATTAGTCGATATAGTGGAATGACGACTAACCTTCTCGATCTCTCCAGTCATTGATCACACAAGATATGCCAGAAGACGATATAGGAACATACGATATTTATTAACGAAGTCTAGCCGAAGCCTATATCTCTGAGGCTCTGATTATGGACTCGTAGCACCTAGCCGCTATGAGTCCATGGGAGCGCCGCCATAATCTTTCTGGGTGTCTACGCTACATTGTAATCCTATGACTATATTGTGGTGTCCCCCTCTCTATTTAAGAGAGAGCATATGACAGAGTCCGAGTCTAGCTCTATCTTACCACTATTTCAACTCCGATTTAACTTTAGTAGGGCTAGTATAGTCGACACATATTCTATCAACTCCAATATGTGTTATGTAATAATCCTGTCGTCATAATAACTACACGGGCTATTAAACAATTTGATAACATGCATATACGAATGCACTAGTTAATTAATTTACTCCATAAACACATAGTATATTTAAGGCACACTACATGTAAACTCCACATACCTTTGGTTATTTTGGGTTTAAATTACAAATTCAAATCTTACTGTTGTGTGCAAATTAGTTCCCTCTAATTACTACTATATTATTCCTACTACACATTTCTTGTGCCAGAAAACAGAACAAACTTTTGCTTCTGAAGAAACCAAGCCAGGTCCAATTCTAGTTGTACCTTGAAAAGTATATTCGTATGTCCTGATCTAGTATAATTTTAAACCTAGGGAGTCGATCAGGTTGCAAATAATTGATCACCTTATATAAAATTAGTTCTCAAAAACCTTATATAAAATTCTCCAGCACTGAGTGATGCATCAGTACTAACATACGGACAAAACAAGTAGAGGTGTGTACTGTACCAGTACACAATAATTTAGTGCTGTACAATAGAATAGAGGCAGAGCATCATGATGTTAGTATAGACTAGCAGCATTAATTAATGAAGCACTACTATCATACAGTAGGGGTTATATGGCAGATAGAGATGAACACCATGATGGTGTGATGAGATCAATTGTAATCAATTAGTGGGAATAGAATAATTACAGGACCGTAATGATGGCTTAAGGGGAGCTGGTGGGTTTGCAGGATAGGGCTGTCTTGCTTTCATACAACAGCAATACTTTATGTTGGCTTGTTTATCACAAGCATGATTAACTAGAGATCTGGTTGAGGTTTTATATGTGGCACTAACTAGGGGGGGCAAGTTGGGGGAAGTAAAAGACACGGCACAAGAATAAAAGTTCTAGAACAACGGTATGAGAACAATGATTTAGGGTAGTACTCCCTCCGTTTCAAAATATTTGACACCGTTAACTTTTTAGTATGTGTTTAACCATTCGTCTTATTCTAAAAATTTAAGTAATTATTTATTTTTTTCATATCATTTGATTCATTGTTAGATATACTTTTATATACACATATAGTTTTACATATTTCACAAATTTTTTTTAAATAAGACGAACGGTCAAACATATACTAAAAAGTCAACGGTGTCAAATATTTATAAACGGAGGGAGTATATTAGTTTAGGGCCAGTTGAAGTTGTAAGATGATATCTATGGGGGCCAGGGAATCATAAACCTCCCTACTTGTGTTGTTTTAATAGGACACTTGCAATTTTGTTTAGTGCCAACTAGCTAGCTGGTGTGTTCAAGTGGAACAGCCACAGGGAAAACAATAAAGAACCATGAGACACGCACGGTCCCTTTTAATACATAGAAAATGGAAAACGTAGCAGTATATGGTAAGGCATATACAGAAAAGTAAGGAGCAAATTGCAAGGTGCGTTTGAATTTCCTTACTATAAGACCTCATCGTTTTGTTTATACTTTATAAGCCATAATTTGAATTTTAAATTCTAATTTTAAGGTTGATTTTATCTCGCTTACTTTAGAATTACTAACGATACATATATTAAGTTTTTACTTATAAATCATTTTTTGCTTATTTTGCTTTGCAAAGTGGATCGGAAAGTTAGTCTGAGTTTAAACTACATTTGTGTTTATTTTGGTTCTACTGATACATTCCCCGGGAGTGGTTTGGTTCCGTAATGTGTCAAGCGGCTGTGTCACTGTGTCAGTGACTTCACCATTGTGGAGCTGCTGGTGCAGAGAATGAAGAACTGCTACTACTACTAGGTTTGCATCAGGAATACACGAGCTACTCGCCTTTTGCAGGCCATGGATGTGGTCATGTGGACATCTCTCTGGGCAGTTGCGGTGGCCCGGAAAGGCTTCACTTGAATCACGAGCTCATATAACTGAGTGGGCCGGATTGCCTGGGAATGAGGTCCAATAGTGGAGTGTAAAAGGAATAAGTCTATTCTGCCTCCCTCCTCTTACCCTTAAATCTTCTCTCAACCGCAAAACCCGTATAAGGTCTCCCCCATTTCCCAAAACCAGTCCATATTGACTCGGATGTTTTTAGATGATTTTATCCTATGTGACGCATAGGTGGCATTCGATAGAAATAATAATAATACTAACATGGTCCCATATGTCGATGAAGCATCCTTATCCCTCCCTTTCGTCGACACTCCTGACAACCCCCGAGCCAGCAACTCCAGCGAGCTCACGGTGCCACCGGCAGTGGCTGCCTCATCGCTGTGTCCTTCCTCAACAAGTCGAGGCCATTAGTACAAAAATATTTTTTTATTCTGGACGAGCACCCTAGTAGGCTGCATACGGGTCATAAGTGGCTACTACGTCTGCGAGTATATGCACTGTCTATCAGACCAAATCGACAGCACCAAGGAACTCAATGTACGTAAAAATCAATAATACATTATTTGGATCGATTTCTTGTTTCATTTCATATATTTACATATCATTTTTTTTAAATGATAGATTATTTACATAAGGGACCAAGTCGACCACTCGGTTTGGATCAAGGCTGTTCAAGAATAATTGATGGGATTTATCAACGAACAGATCCTAGATCTCACGGGTGAATTCTACTACGACGGGAATACAATCCCACGGGTCCTGCATTTCTTAGGAATATGATTGTAGCAACCACACCTGAAACATGCAGTTTTGTTGCCGCTATTATTATTGGGCTTAGAATTGCCTTTCCCCTTTTTGGCGTTTCCACATTGCTTTTTGGCTCTCTTACGCTTGCCCTTTGCCAGATGAACTTCTAGTCCGTGTATTCCCATCTGGAACATTTTTCTTCTCATTCGCATGTACTTCAGGCAGTGGTGCAGTGCCCAACGGGCGCTGGTTCTAGTTCCATACAGTGAGCTCATGGTTCTTTTCTGCATGTTTCAATGTCTGAATGAGTGAAGAATAAACTGTGAAATTCTTCTCACGGTATTGTTGAGTAATGATCCTTTCTGATGGGAGCATTGTAGACAGAGTCTTTTCATTTTTCTCCGCTTCAGAAGGTTCATTTTTTAACCGGAGTTTAGATCATATCTTATGAACAACATAGTTGTATTCGTCTATAGTTTTAAAATCCTGTAGACGCGAGTGGTTCCACTCATGCGATACCTCTGGGAGGATAATCGCCTTATGCTGTTCATATCGATTTTTCAGAGATGTCCATAAAGCTCGTGGGTCCTCCTCTAACATGTATTCCATTTTCAAATACGGATGGATATGATTCCTTATCACTTTTAAGGCAGAAAATTTTGACATGTTAGAGGGGGTAACGGTTCCATCTGTTGTTTCATCTATACATCTATATAGTCCATTGGTTGATAGACTCACTTTGAGATCCATCACCCAAATAGGGAAATTGAAACCATCGAGAGCGAGCATATCGAACTCTTTGGTTGTCATCTCACCTACATTGTCATAGCCAAAATTTTGAGAAATTTTGGCATAGTTGAAAAATAAAATAAAATAGGGCGAGGAGAATAAATTTGCAAGGTAAATGTAAAGGACATGGAAATGCTTAAACAAACCCATATATTTACAATAACAGAGAATTACAAGGTGCTGATTGTAAATGTAAAACTATGATTATTTGCTGAATTTAAAATGACCGAAGGTCAAGTGCTATAATGTAAATGCTGAAAATATAAAGATAATTAGGTAATGGGCCGAAATAAAGGTTTCGGCCCACCACCCTTTCCGGTCCGCGAAGCGAGGACGTGAGGCGCGGGGGTGGCAGCCCATTAGCATGGCACTGGCGTGTCCCATGCGTGGGTGGCAAATGGGCTGGCCTGGCTTAAGGGAGGGGAGGAGGGTTCGGTTAGGCAAACCCTAACCCTTCCTCCCCTTCAAGCCACCTCCGCCACCTAGCTCGGGAGGGCGCAGCGCCGTCATCGCCCTCAGCCAAGGCCGCCCCGTCGGGCACCGGCGTGGCTGGGGCCGGCCGCCGCAGCCGAGGCTGCTGCCTCGGACGTCGCTGCCATCGGGCTGCCGCCACCACCGCTGAGGATGCCGCTGAGGACGCCACCCACGCCGCCGGGCAGCCGCCGACGCCGTGGTGACGCTAATGCCGCTACCGCCGCCACCCTGCACCCTCCCCCCACCTCCTGGACCCTTCACTGCCCTTGCTCAGGCCTCCCCCTCACCCTAGGGTGGGGGACGGCTAGACTTGCCGCCGCCGCTTGTCTTGGCCGGGACATGCCCGGTCTTGATGACACGACAGGGGTCGGGGAACGGAGGGGCCGGTGGAGGGGCAGAGTTCTCGCCGGAGCCCCCTGCTGCCATGTAGAATGGCGGGGCTCCGCGACATGCAGCGAGGGTTCCTTTGAGGAGGAACTCCGGCGGATTAGCCGGTGTCAGTGTGTGCAACGGCGTCTCCAGCGAATAGTCCGGCGATGGTGATCGAGAAATGGCGCGGCGAAGATGCTGGGTCCAACCGTGATGAGGACAGAAGGCCGTCACCATGTCGGGCAGCTCCTGCTGCGGCCGCACCCTCGCTGTCCACCCATGGGATTCACGGTGATGCGGGGACTCCACCAGAATCCTTTCTGGTGCAGTGCACATGTCGGGCACCACCAGAGGCCCTTGGTGAGTTGCGAGGGTGCTGGAGTAGGTGTTGTCGGCTCCGGTGTTCCTTCGGGCAGCAGCGCCGCTGCTGTGGCGTCATCCTTCACGTCCAGCGAAGCCAAGGGGAGGAGATGGGGGGCCACGGCCCCTGCCGCATCGAGCACGACGCACTGGAGCCCGAAGGATCCTCTCAAGCTGATGCATGAGTTGACGGAGACGACGGGCACGGATGTTGCGAGGAAGGGAAGAACCGGCATCGAGAGAAACAGTACGTGCCATCTTACCCTCCACGTGCTGATGATATGTTATAGAACAAAAAGTGAACAGTGAAAACAGTGAATCCCCTCAATTTTATTGATCTTAATATGCCCCTTTTATAGCGAGGATTTGTATATATACATGCCTAGGATTCTCTTAGGATTTAAGCCTCTAAATATGGCTGTTTATATGTCACAAATAATGCTCCTTAAAATGTATGTTACAAGATTGATGATTCACTTGATTGCTGCCATTGCTGCTCTTTGACGAGATCAAATATGGCCTAATGATGCTTTTTTTGTAATAGTTGGAACCGTGGTTCCTAGGCCCCATCTATTATGGGCCGGGCAACACTACTATCAGCCACTCCATCTTGATCGTGGGCTACGACGTCGACGACCTGGGAGACCTTTACTGGGTCGTCAAGAACTCATGGGGTAAACAGTGGGGCGATCAGGTACATCTTCATCAGCGCCGCGGCCAACGACGGGATCGTTAGCCAGTCAGGGGTCGCCGGCATCCTCACCAGTGCGATATATGTTCAGTAGCTGTGCTGGTATGTACTGTAAGTTATGCTTATTATTGTGTGATTAGATTCTCTCTTATTTTCTCTATGTTCTCGAGCAAGGATATCTGTTAGTTTCATTGTTGGCTATGTGTTCTGCTGCATACTTACAGTGGCAATATTGGTAATTTACTTACAGTTCCAATTTAATTGTAGTTGGTGGATAATTGTAGTATCTAGGTTGGAAAGCTTTTGGCCCTGCAAACCAAAGTTCATCATGACTGTCCTCATTTTGTCCACTTTACTACTCTACTTTTGCATTCCTGCAACTTCTGCCACGACGAACCCAATCTTATATGGCCAAGCATTCCCTGTGAATCGAATTCAGATTTGTTACTATTTGATGTAATCATGTAAACGCACACATGCTGGTTACAGTTTTAGAAAATATTATAACTCGCATCACTATAAATTGTATATAAGTTTTGTGCAAGTGGCTTTATTTTTGTTGATTACCTCCTTGGTTGCAAATGCAGGTGCTACTGGAATTTGGAGACCAAGGAGTGCCCAACGTGAAAATAAATAAATAAATAAGAAGAAAGAGAAACAGGTCAGAAAAGAAAAACGGGTGTTTGATACAGCTTCTGTGAGCAGTGATTATCTGAAAATCAAGCTGTCCTGAGAATCTGCTAGCTGGAGAAGTTATGAATTTGGCAACTTGATTTTTTTTTTTTGGTGTGTGATTGTCTGCTAAGGGTACAATGACATGTATGTCCTTGAAGCTTGATAAGTTATCTGCACCAATGTTTAATATTACAATATGACATTTCTCTCTTAAAAATCGTATCTGCACATGTACACAGGCTGAAACGAATTGATTCAACATTGAACTGAACGAAAACATCGCAAAATAATGCTTAGGAAGAAATCTCATACTGTGTACGCACACAATTTTGCATCGAGGAAAAATTACTCCTAAACAGCAGAAGCATACAACATACGCACTAATCAATTTTGCATCGATACAGTGAAGGAGCAGATGCCTCCCACAATGTAGAATTACTGCTCGGGGAGGTTACTGTATATCCTGTCCAAAGACCCTGCAAACACATGATCCTTTAGGTGAAACAAAAACAACACAACTTTTGAGAATTAAAAATGAGATCAATATTATAAACCCTCTTACATGTAGTAACTTAGTTGCATAGGAAAAATTCTTTTGACACATGACAAAATTGAGCCCACCTAGCTAGTATGTTTTCCCATGCATATGTGACTAAAGAAAATATTGTTGAAATGTCACATGGTTCCTTTTACACTTGGCAAAATTTCTGCTGAGAATGTTTCTAAAAGATGAGAGATTAGGCTGCTGTTTTAGCTTCTGTCATCATTTCGTAAAAACTAATAGCTGATCGCGACCTGAACCACAAGTCACCAAATAGTCAGATTTAGGAACTGCAAATGAAATTATCAGTTACTTCGTAGGGAAATTCAGTTAGTTGTAGTGTTGCTTCCCAAACTTTGCTGCAAAACTGAAACATTATGCACTGCTTAACACAACTGGTACTAACATTGTTGATTATCCATATGAGTGTCCCTCACATTGTTGTATACTAGTTGCATAACAGTACAAGCCATTCATTCACAGTAAAACACAGCTGCCCCAACTTCGACCTGAAGTTCATTCGCAGTAAAACAGCTGCCCCAACTCAGGGGTGGGCCCTATATACGAGTAGTTCTTTTTTTTTTCAAAAGCGTGCTTTAGTACGTGCTTGTGCTTCATTAAGTGGAATAAGGAGGCTTTACAAACTCGATCTATGCTAAATCGTGTATGAGCTTATATGGATTTAATTGTACTACTTCTCTATCATTAGGTTTGCCCAAGCTCATCCGCCGCTCCCCCCTCCCCTCCTCTTCCTCTCCATCTTTTCCCCCTTCTCCTCCCTCACAACTCCATGGAGACCAGCGGGGTAGTAGTTGGGGCTCGCCTCCCCCCTCCCGCTAGCTCCGCCGCTGGCCGTGCCTAACACGGAGGGCACATAACATAAATCGCCCACAGCCTCATCATGGCCACCCACTCCCGGCCTCGTTGATTTCTCGTCTTTGCGCGTTGGGCCGTCGACTTCGTGTTGTCTGGCCACTGATCCATCGCCACCTGATTCCCCTCCATTGCTGCTGGAGCTCCACCTGCAGCGTCCTCGTTGCTTTGATCTGCTTCCTCATCACCAATCCCAGCGTCTCGTCCCATCCATGCCACTTGTGCACGGATTCCTGCACACCGGCGGTCCGCGTGCAAGGAGACGAAGTAGCGGCACGCCGGCACCAAATTGCATTAGCTGCAACGGCTCTCCTCGCCTTGAGGAACGAGGGGAGAGAGAGAGGAAAGGAAGATAGATGAGGGAGAGAGAAGAGGGAAGAAGAGCGAGGATGACTTTTGTTTTTGCTACGTAAACTCCTAGATCAGGTCAACTTGCCTTGTCAGCAAAACTCGTCATCTATACTTGTTGGAGGACATAATTTAATCCAGTTTTACAAGTTGAGGGTTCAAGATTAATTTCCAGTACCGTGGTTACTAGGGACGTTAGGTGCACTTATTTCCTGCTATGTTCGCCAAGCCCTTGCTCGTCTGGCCTGTGGCCTCTGCTGCTTGTTGTCCTCTCCCTTAGGGGTACTGAGCTATTGGGCTCTAGAAGACTTGTAAGGACCATTGGCCCAAACAGGTGGATGGTAGGCTCATTTTGATTGCCATTTAATTTTCAAAGTGTAACAGAAATACTCTTTTCTATTGGATTAGCCACTTCTAAGCAAGATTTACAACTGACCTTAAACTACAAATATCGCATTGCATTATATATACGTGAGGTACTAAAAAACACTGTGGGTGGTGGCTAGATACCGGGGTTGCTACATTTCAGGTTACCTTCAATCTAGCAATCATCTTCCCACTTTTTGATCAAACATGCTGAAAAAGAAATAGAGGTCCTAAATTTTTCATATTTTAGTCCATGATAATGTGTTCCAACATGCATGTTTAAAGTTCACTTGTTTCATTTTTATATAGTTTTGCTTTTCTTACTTTGCTGATATGGAATTAATAGAACATATTGATTTTCTTTAACTCCAATAAGTATTCCGATGGTAATCATATCTTCTTCAAAGAACCATGTCTCATGATGATAACGTGATCGTACGATTAAGGGTTTCCACTTCTCTTCTTAATAAAGTTAAATCACTGCATCCATACACAATAATTCTTCTTGGCATTAATTGAAAAAGTGAGTCTATTCAGGTCTGTTGTGCAAATATGAAGAATATATAGTAGCCGATGTAAAAAAAGATATTTTTTGACATTTTCTAATGGTAAGCCCTATTTTATATTTTGCACCAGAACCCTAAATTTCTAAGTACGGCATGAGAAAAGGGAGGATTCCCACCGGTGACGATAGGATCAACAGTGGATTGTGAAAGTCCATGTGGTTAAGAGGTAGGGATGACCGTTGTGACTCCGGCTGTGTAGGCCACCAGAGATAGGGAAGACAGCGGGGTGGGGCACCTCGCCCTTGTCTTGGGGAGGAGAGATGGCGACAATGCTCGATGAGGAGGCGCACTTGATCTGGCGTCGGTGGAGGCGTGAGAGGAGGGGAGCACTACTACGAAAACCCTTTTTGCATGCGGGCGAGAAGGGTCTTTGCATGCAGTTGCGCCAACCGCATGGGCGAGAAGGTCTGCAAAAATCACGCTTTTCGCATGCGGCCGGCGCAACCGCATGCGAAAATGGTCGCTTATACCGGCCGCATGCGAAAATAAATTCAGCAAACAAAAAAAACCAAAAAACCGAATCCTAGCCCGCCACTGGAGCGTCGTATCCCTGCCGCACGCCGTCACCGGCGCCGGATCTGTCGCCCCCACGGCCCGCCATCGTCGCCGGCGCCGGATCCGTTGCCCCGGTCGCCTGCCGTCGTCGCTATCACCGAATTGGCTGCCCCCGCCGCCCGCTATCCACGCCGGCGCCGGATCGGCTACCCCAACGTTCGCGCGAGAGAGGAGCGCCCTTGGTGCTGGATTCGCGCGGGGTGGCGCCGCCCGTCGTCGTCATTGTTAGCGGCGGTGAGGAGGGGATGGCGGTGGCGCCACCACCCGGGTCGCTGCCCGCTCGTCGGATCGATCCGCCGCCCTTGCTGCGTGCCGTCGTCGCCGTAGCCGCAGCCGCTCCCTAGGGCGGCAGATCCAACGGAGAGGGAGAGGGAGAGAGGGAGAGAACAGATCTGTGGAGATAAAGAGAGAAAGAGGGGAGAGTAAAATTAAAAAATAGAGGGGAGAGAGAGAGGAGATGGGTTGGAAAAAATTGAAGTGGTGGGAGGGAAAAGAGAGATATGTAAATTTTATGAAAATGTTACTATTACTTTGTCGGATGAAGAAATGACCAAAATAAAAGTTATAGATCTTGATAAGTTATACAACTTTTTTGTTGATGACTCTTTCAGCTGAAATTATTTACTGCTTCAAAATATTTTTTGAAGTTTTGAAATTTAAATTTTTAATTGATAAAACGAAGTCACAAGAAAAAAATGTCTAAAATAATAGCAGAAAGAACACAATAACATGATAGAGCATGATTTTAGAAACATTTAGGAAAAAGAATCATCCAATTTAGAGTTCATATGAGTGAGATAAACTAGTTTCAAACTTTATTTTTCATACGGCTCCTTAAGACGTCCGTATGGAAAAATCGATTTTTCCATGCGGGCTCTTGAGTGATCCGCATGCAAAAATGAGCATACGAGCGTCCTAAGGAGTCTATGTGAAAATAAAGGTCGATTTTTGCAGATGCCGCCACTTACGGTTCGTTTGCAAAAATTATGAGGTCTCGTATAGAAAAATCGTACAGAAAAATCGTTTGTGTAGTAGTGGAGGGCTGGGTTCCCTAGGATGAGAATAAGATTATTTCAGTGTATAATTAATCTTAACCTAATCTTTTTTTTGGGGGAAATCTTAACCTAATCTGAGCTATCTAGAGAAGTGACTGGAATTTATGAGTATTTTCATCTGAAAAACTAACCGTGTATTATCCACCACCATTATTCTTTTCCTCGCCGCCACACAGCACCCACCGGTCGGTCGGTCGGATAATGAAATATTTAAACCCCTTACTACGACGTAGTACTCCCTCCGTAGTCGTGAAGGAAGTCGTTTAGGATAATGTTTAAGTCAAACCTTAAAAATATAAATCATGAATATAACTCTCAAGTTGTTAAGTCAAAAAGTAAAAATTATATATGAATAGATTTGTCTAAAAATACTTTCATAAGAGTATGCATATATCACTTTTCAATAAATGTTTTTATAGAAACAAGAAGTTAAAGTTGTGTTTTGGACACCGTGTCGCTGTCCAAAACGATTTCTTTTACGAGTACGGAGGGGGTAGAGCTTAGCTACAGTACTAGCTGGTCCCCTTTGTCCACTACGGCGGCGCTGGAAACATATGCGCGCGCGGTAACTCCGGTACGTACTTAGGCGGCCGGAGGCGGCCCTCGAGCTCGTTCTCGCCTGCTGCATCATATCGTCGATCGATCACCATGAGTAATTGCACCACGCACGGCCACTCGGGAATTGAGCAAATTATCGCGTGCATTTCCTGCGCCTCTGCGCCCGCGGCCGCCATCGTCGTCGTCGTCATCCTAGCTCGTCGCGATCCCATCGATCGAGCAAGGACGGACGGCGAGGTGATGATCGATATCACTACTATAGCACTAAATACTGGAGTAGGAGTACTAGATAAGCATCATCGATTGATCGATGTAGGAGTACTATCATTCATGCGAGAGCGGCCGCATGCATGCAGGAACATGCTGCAGACCTGCAGTAGTGGTAGCCTATTGCGTAGCGCCCTAGCCCTAGCCATTCTTCATCAATCTTCTCTCGTCTTCCATCTACGTACGTAGCTATACTAGTGTCAGCCCCAATCTAGATGCTATACTTAATTACATGTGTAGGCTATACGTATGTACTAAGTAGGCCGCGTAGACTTTTGGAGGACGATAGCTACTAAAGATGATAACGGGTGCATACCCACACCCACGATGGTTAAATGTTCCCACTTAAATACTCACACCCATCGTGGATACAAAATCGTCTCCATACTCATACCCGTACGGGTATGGGTATCCATACCCATATAATTGACTTGTAGCATTTATAATTTTATTCTGTAATTAGCCATATTAGAACTGTAAACCATTAATATTTTCTCTGACAATAATACTATTAACATTATCATTCAAAGGCAAGTAAAAAAAAATCTATAACCATATGACATAATCAAGAAATCAAATAATAATTTCATGTAACTAGACTAGAACAGTGTTTAAGATGTGAAATGAGTTTTATGCTATGATTTAGTAGTAGTTGGGAGTTATGTTACTCATAGTTTTAGATTCAATCTACGGGTTTTTTTCACCCACGGGTTGGTGGGTATGGGTGGGTAAAGAACAGACCCATACCCACGTACCCAATCGGTAAAAATTTTCGCCCGTCAGTAGACCCATGGATATAAGAGTTAGAACATAATTGGCTCCTAATAGAGTAAAAACCCATCGGGTATCGGGTTAGTTATGGGTCCCCGTTGCCATCTCTAATAGCTACTGCTTCCTAGCTATCTCCACCGTTCATGCAGCCAATCACCTTAAGTGTAGACGAGAGAGAGAGAGAGATGAGCTAGAGAGACGTCGATGGGAGGGATATCGCTGTGTTGTGTACTAGTTGAGGGATAGAGGTGAGCCATTTGCACAACTCATCTCTGCTACACCTCTGTCTCTTCTCTTAAGTGCTATATCTAGCTTAGCTAGCTTGTTATACATGTCACGTATATACTCCTTTCTTAAATGTTTAACGCCGTTGACCTTTTTAAA